AAAAATACATAAATTACTTATTCATAAACTTTAAAATCTGACAAAATTAAACATGAGAACAGCATGGATATACAGCTGGAGTGAGGGGAGTTTGCAAAGAGAAGATGGTTTGTAAAACTTTAATTACAGAGTATATTCAATTCAGATAACCCCCGTGTAGATTCCGGGGTAGAATAGGTGTTCAGCAACCCATGCTTGCCGTAAAAGGTGAATATGCTTGTTGTAAAAGTCGACTAACGGGATCGGGTGGTCAGGCTCGCTGACTTGGTTGATGTGTGTCATCGATCCCAATTGCGTGGCTCGATGCTCATGATATTGATCACTGGATTGTCTGGTCCAGACTCGATTATTTACAGACCGCCGTCATATAGCTGGAATATTGCTGAGTGCGGCGTTAAACAACAAACCAACCAATTTGGATAATTCATATACTGTAAGGCCACAGGCCCATAGTACAGAATACATGACAATGTGGTGGTGGTTAGAAATGTTACAAGGATTTATTTCTTAATAACATGGCATGCTATATAAATAGAGATATATTTCGTATAGTCGTTATGCTCACATGTGATATCAAAGAGATAAACTTGTATTTATTTGGATGTACACAGTATATTTGTTTAATATATTTTTTCTTTAATTACTATATTTACAACATATAAGCAAAAAGTGAACTTCATCTTCGACAACATTTACGGAACATTGTCAACTTAATCTTAAACATTTTGGTATTTTTTGTGCTTGCCAACTTCACCCACTAACCCATGTGAGCTGCATCTAAATTAAAGATATTCTGCATTTTCTTATATTTACATCAGTTTAATAATTTTCTCTGCATATTTGCATTTTAAAATATCTATAATATTTGCATTTGCTAGAAACATCAACAGTAGATCTCCATGTTTGAAAGTACATGTCAAAATGCGTCTGCCTTATTTTCGATATGAACATGGCATGATTCTCAAAGAAACATTGGTTGTCCCAGATGTAACCATAGTAACTATTTAACATGGTATGCCCAATTCTTTCATACCATAACGTCAGAGTAAACAGACAGATGTAATCTGAAGGTCTTCAAAATATTAATAGGTGTATCCAGTAAGTAGGTATGGTAATGAAGTTGTGTTTTACATAAACAAAATACTGGTTTATCAAAAATATTTACAGTTGCAACACATTCATAAAACCCTTTACACTCTTAAGATACAATAAAACATCTTTTGAAAAATGTATCTTCAATTTTCTTTATCTAGTTTAAATGGTTTGATTTTAACAGTAATAGTGAGAAGTATATTTATATCATACATATTTAAATATGCCTACATAAATAAATCTATGTTTATAGGTTTGTTCTATGTTGTGTTGAATAGGCAATAGATATGATATACCCTAATAGATTGTAAACTTTGATATTTGCAGAAAAGGGATTATTAAAAAATAGATCTACATTCACATTGAAGGCTATGAATGTTCTAATTTATTTCAATATGATATTTGACTTTCTCACATGACATCATACAAATCAATATAGATTTTATCACAAATATAAATTAATAACCTGAAAGATTAAACAACCGAAAAAATAATCAATCTATGTACATATCGGTGGTTTTGGTGAATATTAAACATAACAGATGATGTGTTCTTTGAAATTGTTCATATTTATATGAGAGAGTGAGTGTGTGAGTTCAGTAATATCCGTATCATGGTGTGTAATCTTAATGTTAGAGGAAATGAGTCAAACCCAAAAGCTCATGTATGGTGCTGACAAACCAAGCATTATTATCAAGGGGAATGCTGATAATTTGATCCTGGCATAACAAAGGGACACAACTCTGTACAGCTAATTGCAGCATCCCCTAGAGAATATCCAAAACTGTGTTCATGAACACATGGATAGTGAACAATAACTATGAATCGAAGCCTGCCCACAATAGATCTTAGCACTAGGACTCCCATGCTTCAACGGTCCTTGTGCTAGGATGGAGCCCTGTCTCATACCACTGGGATCATCCATAAACCATTATTTTATGTCGCTTTTATTTCCGCTGCATATCAGTAGGAAACTTGTGAAACTGCTTGAGTGTCATTAATACTGGCTGGGAGAGGACGAGCTGGTGATACTGACATCAAAACAAGTTTAAAACTGTATGTTTGAGAGTTTATGTGAAGTTAACTATGAGATTGAAGTTAACCGTTACATGGCAGGAGAACTTCTGTGCGGCCTTAGGCAACAACCAATCCTTACATTTTTATGCAAATTGTGTGAGAGTCAAGTTTACCCCTTTTCGCGAACACCTGGTGTCATCACTGATTTTCAGTGATCCATTCACATAATTTTCACCCTATTTTGCCTTTTACACCCAACGGAATCCATTTTGGCAGATAATCGACACTGGCTATTCTCTGGCATTGACATTTTCTATACATGTTTTACATCCGCGTAAACAATTTATAAATATAAAACCATTTCAGAAGTCAATATATTTACCTGTTGTGGATTTCACAATCTAAGTCTGGGATAAGGTATATTTGCCATCTTCTTAACACAAGAAAATTAGATATGTGAATGTTTGTCATATCGGTGCCACCTGTATGATTTTCGCATACAGTCCAGTGATAATTTATTCCTCCACATTTCCATTATCTTTTTTAAAAAGATAACTGAGTGGGTTTTTTTCCACTTACGTGCACTCATGTACCCACAACAACCTCAGGTTATGTAGGCTTCTAGATGTATACATATATCTGAAAGCATATATAAAAAATATATGCATGTCATTTAACATGGCCTACAGATCTCAAAGCCATCATGACTCAAACAGCAGAGCTGATCATGATGGATGGAGCAAGGAGTAGCGATACACAAACTTCTTTATTCATGTTCTTGGCTTCTTTCATGCTATTTTTTATCCATAAGGATGGTCCAATTGATATGTTTGTTTCTCTGACAAACCTATACTAAAAATTGCAAATGTGAAAACATATATTGCAGTTAAAGCTAAAATAAATCTTGTTTGTTAAAACCCTAAATTTAATCATTTTGAGGATAAACAACTCAAATTAATCCTGACAATTATTTTTTAATTTCAGCTTTTTTTTCATGTTAATGTAGCAAATGAAGATGAGAAATAAAACTGATTAACTGAAACTTCTTTCTTGCCTATGATTGTTTTCTTTTACTTGACAATCTACTTTGGTGTTATAAAAACTGAAAAAAGCCAAATGTATTCGATTGAAAAGATGCTTATCCTAAGCGCCAACTTGTTTGTGGTTTTAATTTTAATTAATCACTTTTTCAGGAAATTAAACAAGTATTCTATATAAGCAACAAGCATTATCAAACATCAGTCAGAATTCTTATGTCCTTAATGGAAGATTTTCAAGCTATACACTTTACACTTAAAAAAATTATTTGACAGAAATATTAAACATTGTCCAAACGTTTATAGGATGAAAACAGTCACCGAAACACTGCAAACTTAAAGGCCAAAACACAACTATGATACTTGTATCAAATACACCATTGAATAATCCTTTCTTGTTTGTTTTATCAAACATGGGTGTATACTTTCTTTTGCGCAGCAGTTTCGATATTACCGTATTCGACGTAATAAGCACCCCGCTCTAATAAGCACCCACAGCGATATTTGCTGGTATAATGGCTAGTGACCAAGCCCAAGTTGTATCCCTTCCGACTGATCAATGTACACAAGACTTATTTATTCGCGTATAATACACTCTTGTGTTATATGCACCCTTATTTATGGGCAATTAAAATCTGGTAAAATATATCTGTCATACATAAACATTTCAGGCTGTCAGCATAAACAACAAAATTTATCTTTCGATTATGTTTTTTTCCACCAAATAAGAGCCCCCTATTTCTAATTTTGCCCCCGGCGCTTATTACGTCGAATACGGTATATGGATTATAGGGAAATCAATAAAACAAAGTATGAAAATGGTGTGCCCTGAACAGTTTTTAAATAGCGTGAAAACGAGCTGTGAATAAGTGAAATTGCATAGTTCTCAACACATTTCATTTTTATCGTTTGTATGATTAATTCTTCATGTTGATTTTGTCCATCATTTATGTGTGAAACTGCAGTTTGTCTGCATGAGGGAAAAGATGAAATTGTAGATAAAGTATTACATACTGAATATGTCTGCAAATGAAAAACAGTTTAAAGACAGACACATTTTGTGCCACAGTTTTGAGTTGTTTGTCAAACTAAATGCAGGAAATGCATGTCAGAAATTCAACAATTATCACATATGAATCAATGTTTTTTCATAATGGCTGCGTACATTTTATCTGTTATCATGAGCACTCATTAAAGGATATTCCTCTACAAATCAGCTGATGATGTATGCATGGGTAAAGTCTCGACAGATGTACGAGAACATTGTAAACATAGGATTCCTGTACAGCTAAGGGTGTATTTTCACAACAGATTTCATATGGCTGGTGATGATAGTTCTTATCTGAGAAAGCCAACAGGACCAAATTTGAAAAACAAAAGTATTATCATCTAGTTTAAATGAGTTAGCACTTCTTAAAGTTGTGTGTCTTGATAGTAAGTCATTTAAATGAGAAAATAAGTTGTTTAAATGAGATAGTGGCTTAAGCGAGATAGAAGGTAGTTTAAATGAGATAGTAGGTCGTTTAAATGAGATAGTAGGTCGTTTAAATGAGAAACTATAAATCCCAAATAATTTAACGAGTTAATAAGTCATTTAAAAGTGATAGTAAGTTATGTCATTTAAATAAGATACTGACTGCAGAAAATAAATAGAAATTGATTTTCTTTTTGTCTTTTGTGCTGAAGAAATGGCTAAAGGATATCAAGTCTATTGATGTATGGTAGGAATATGGCACCAGCATGATGCCAGCATGACACAAGCATGACACTAGTATCTAACAAGCATGACACCATCATGACACTAGTATATGACACCAGCTTGACGTCAGGATATAGGATTATGTGACAACTTACCTTGAGGACACTTGTGCCAAGGGACAGGCTTATGTTGAAAATCAATTTCAAATTCATATTTTGGGGTCTGAAATGAAAAAGAATCATATATGAATCGGGAACATCCAATACATAATGATTCACATAGAACTGAATCAAGGTAGTCACATTTTATGTGTTGGTCATCATGTGTCAAATTTAGTTACCTGTTTGAATTAAGTGAGTGAGTGAGTGAGTTGGAGTTAACGCTGTATTAACAGTATTACAGTTATATCGCAGCATGTCAGTTTAATGTGGGAGGACAGCCCCAAGTGATGCAGGTCTCAGACATTTACCACTTCGGTGAAACCCACAAGCACGAGTATGGTGTTGACAAACCTAGAAACATAATCAGGGCAATCCGGGATTCGAACCCACAACCATAGGTTTCTTGGGTGCCCAAGGGACGCAACTCTGCACAGCAAATCGCGGCGCCTTAGACGACTGGGCCACCCGTGCCCCTGTTTGAATTAAGATTACCAAGATTGGAAAATAATATTCTATACTGGATTAGTAGCTTTTTCCATTTCATAATTCATTTTAATATTTACACGGATCTGCAGACCCCAAAAGTCAGGAGAGAAATTGAAAAAAATTAATCTAAAGCTTTTTTGGGTTAACTTGGAACCTGAAAAGAATGCTTATATATAAAAATATCACACCTTCTTTGACTGCCGTACTGAGATATTTGGTCTGTTTGTTTGTTGTTTGATGTCACACTCAGAAATATTCATTTACATGACGGGGGTCAGCAAATAATTGAGTTTGCATCAGACAGTCCATGTCCAGTGATTGACATTATCAGCATTGGTCTATTTAATTGGGATACAATGACATGCATCAACCACGTCACGGAGCCTGACCACTCAATCCCCATATTCCTCTGCATCAGTATTCCAACAGTGTGTGGCTTGGTTCCCAAGGAAAACAAATTACAATCTTTATCATTTCTGTCATATTTCACAAAAATGCCAATAGGAAAATAGATATTTATTTATAAAAAAGAAAATCTCATCATACTGACCCTATTTTCTTACAATTACAAATAAAATAGTTGAAAAGTATAATTTAGTTTATATATTAAAGGTTTTAAGAAAATAAAACAGCAAACCACCTTATAAAAAAAGACCCAAGAAACAAAATAAACCACACCTAAGAATATTGAATAGAACGGAAGTTGCACTGGAGTCAAGGCAAATAAACGGACTACATGATATTGCTAAATAATTGTCTAGTAATTAAATAAAGGGATATAAGTTAAACACAACCCATTTGGTCTTAAAAATTAGGTATGTCAAGTCCATACATGCAACACAATTCAAGGTAATGTAAACAGGAGCAAAGATTTAAAATTGGAACTGGAATGAAAACACCCAAAAGTGAACATATGATAATTTTCCCCCTGGATTCTAAAAATTAGAGTCCTGTGACATAAGTATGATTTTTAGAGAGCTGAAGAATATGACGAATGGTGGTTTGATTCTGGCTATTATAATGCGTCTTCATTCACAGAATCGTTGCTGATTTCAACAGACTGGTCTAGACCTGATAGACAAACAATTAATGGAATGAGATGGAATATTTTTGGCTGTGGCCACAAACAAATTCACTCCATATTTCTGTCTCACTAGATTATTATGCTATTACAGAACTTGTTGACAGTTGCGAGCCTATCCGATCGAACGCAGCAAGTATCATCGATATAAAACAAATGTGTGTTGGCTCCTCAGAAAATAGTTATTTGGAATTATGATTGTCTACCGAGTTTGACCTGAGTTTACGAATCTACGTAGACATTGATCAATCTACATTTGTCATAGCGATCGTAAGTCAAACGGTCCTGTCACAGTTTTAGCTCGATCGTTTAACAGTTGACCTCCTCAAGTAGGTGGCTGTTTCTCGGTATTGACCCGAACGACGAAGAACCTTTCGTAAATCATTGTTGTAATATATTTGTTCACGGTATCACTGTGCACGTGGAAATATTAACATTCCCAGTCAAGGGATCGAGGAATGACAAGGGTCTTCGCAAAAACAATTTGTAGTTTACAGTTTACATTTTACTGGTCATGGACTGGTGGATCTGCATTGTTGCGAAATCGTAACTAAACTGCCATACCCATGTTTGAAGGTGGCTAATATGAAACAAACAAGAAATGGTTACTCGAAGATGATGTATTTGATACGGGTTTTATAGGCGATATTACATCATATCAATGGACCCGTGAAGATTCCGGGATAGAATAGGTCTTCAGCAATCCATACTTGCCGTAAAAGGCGACTATGCTTGTCGTAAAAGGCGACTAACGGGATTGGGTGATCAGGCATGGTGACTTGATTGATACATGTCATCGATCCAAATTGCGTGGATCGATGCTCATGGTGTCAATCACGGGATTGTCTGGTCCAGACTCGTTTATTTTACAGACCGCCGTCACATAGGTTGAATATTGCTGAGTGCGACGTTAAACAACAAACAAACAAACAACGTCATATCAACGAGTATCTCACAATATCTGACGTGCACATGACGATTCATGGGCAATGGGGGTCGCAATTTCACCGCACACTTCTTTTGCCCGTATGTAGTGCCCACTTGTGCCAATCTCCAACAACCCATGGGGATATCTGCTTAGAATAGGTCCCTATCCACCTATGTTGGTCGTCAGAGGCGGTTTTATTTAGACCGCCTTCGTGGTCTAGTGGTAGAGCGTCCGCCCGGAGAGCTGAAGGTCCGGGGTTCGATCCCCGGCCACGTCATACCAAAGACGCTAAAAGATGGAACTTGTTGTTACCCTGTCTGGCGCTCGGCATTAAGGGGCTAAACGTCCGAGGTGTATTCATGTTTAACTGCGGCATGGTATCCCAGTGGGCTAGCATATAGTGGACTATAAATCGGCATCAGTCCGGACTAGTACAAGCAGCCACACACACACACACACACACACACTATCGCTATATAAGTGCAATAACCTTGGACGTGACGTTAAACCCAATTTCACCTCACCTCACCTCACCTCAGAGGAGATTTAATAGATTTGGTTTGGGCTAGCTGGGTTAATACATGTCATAGTATCCCAACTGCGTGGATCTATGCGCATGATATCAACTACTGGATTGTCTGGTCCAGATAAGATTATTTACAGACCGCCGTCATATAGCTGGAATATTGCCGACTGCGTTGTTAAAATCAAACAAACAAATATGATAGAAGTCAAGATGCGTATCATAGGATGGAAGGTGATATATCTAAATATCAGTGAAAACAATAACACCTAGTCGTCATCGTTGAACAAAGACAGGGAGTCACATTTATTTCCGTTGTGTAACCTGCTGAGAATATCTGCTAAATAACCATGTCGTGGGCAACATTGTTTATTGCAAGCTAGCGACGTCAAGTGCGGGTGTATTTCAGATATCCTAGGAACTAGAAAGTTCACGGCCTAAGATTTGCATTGCAGAGGAAATGAATTGTCATCAAATACAAAAATTTATAACATTGACGTTTTTCGATAAGAAAAACAGTTAATGATACCCATGAGTTATTGGTTATTGAGGTTATAAAGTAGTTTGAGGGTCGGATTAGGCACTTCTTTCTACAATGAAGTGTCCAGCTGGGGTATAAATCTCATATACTGTAAACTTGGGTGGACATTTCTACAACATCCTTTGGTTTACAATACCGACCTTAAAAGGGACATTTATTAATTACTTGGTTTTAGGTCAGCGAATGTTCAAACTTTCAAGCACTGTTTAGAAACGACATTTAAAGTTAAATTTCGTTTTTGCACCCGATTTCAACTTTTCGCACCTGCCATGCCATTGATACGGTGTGTGAGTGAGTGAGTGAGTGAGTATGGTTTTACGCCGCTTTTAGCAATATTCCAGCAATATCACGGCGGGGGTCACCAGAAATGGGCTTCACACATTGTACCCATGCCGGGAATCGAACCCGGGTCTTCGGCGTGACGAGCGAACGCTTTAACCACTAGGCTACCCGGATACGGTGTGTGATTCGCAAGGGCACTGTGTGGTCACTGGTGCCTCAGACCTGTCTCTTCATACACCGAGCCGCGGGGGTGTAATCAAAAGAGACACTAGGTACATTTAAATTCTCTTATAGATTTGTAACCTTCTAAAACCTAGTTACATAATCTCTCACCACCACCCCACCCCAACCACCCCGTATCCAGTACGTTTTGAAAAGTTTTGGTCTTAGGGATCTGCCGACTCAACATTTCGCAAACATGAAATCAAAACAAAATTTTCAGAACAGAACTAATTTCAGTAATTAAAAAACTCAAAAGTTAGTCAAGATGGGAAGGTAAGTAAATCACTAACTTGTCTTCCAAAAATACCTTTTCTATTATATTTCTTCTAAAAGTACATCCAATAGACCACTTCACGTTTTGACATTTAAGCTTCAATTTTGTTTTTTAAGTTTATATTTTGAATATTATTAATTCGGCTATGACATAACAAGTTTGCAAAATAGTCTGTAAACCAATCAGTTATGAAAACGTCACAGTCTATTTCCACATCTCGGTGGTGTAAACAGAGGAAGTGTGGTCTAAATAGTATGAATTAATATTCCAGTGTCACCAATCGTTATAATGACAATGGCTTGGTGACTTTCCTTCTGTAATAAAACGGTCATCGCAGTACTAAACTGATGGGAATAAATAATGAAACGTTTAGAATTTATTCCCGAATATAAAAGCTTCAAATTTTAAAAGTACGTCTATAGAATTAAATTTGCCATCAGGTGTCGACATGTCACCTTGCCAACACGATCTTATTTGTTTTACTTTCAGGTGCATTAGAAAGAATCGGATAGGCTCAGCGGAAAAGTCTAATATTGAAGTTTTGGAAATCATTGTAATATTGGTACGAAAATTATCGGACTTGTTCAAATGAAATATACACTTGCAAATTTTGTATTTCTGACACGAAGAAATACTGAATATTGACTAAAAAGAGTAAAAAAAGACCGATTTTTACGAACTTCAAGATAAAATCTTTCTATGAGCAAGTTGTGTCCAAACATTA